AATAATGGTCAGGAGTGAAAGATGATTTGAAGACCTACTCTCCATTTCTAGATTCGCATGGAGTGTTAGGGATGGAAAGAGTCTTTAGAAGTTTGTTTAGTTGAACCTTCTTCCTTCACATTGGACAAACAGGTAATAAATATTATGGAAAGAAGGGATTCTGCCCTGTTTTGAAAAATATTTTTACCCCCAAACCTAACTTTTTCCCTCTTTCATGCCAGGGATTGATAGCAAGGTCTGGAAGGTTTTTCCTTTTATTAATACTAATCTCTTGGGATTAAACTTTAGTCCATTTTCTCTTAGTGTTTTATAGTAAAGATTGGAACCCTCTGGTTACTGTTATTTGTGAAGAAAATCCCTTCTATGTCACTCTGAAAGTTTTCAAAAATATTTTTCCTGAAAGTGTCACCCAAATGAACAGTTGTAACTCTTAAACTTTTTTCACTGGTGTAGTTTTCTAGCTTTAATGACAATAATAGTAATGATGACAATTAAAATTATAATTATAATAGTTATTATTTTGTCTGTTTTATCTATAATATTCCAGATATCAGGCAATGAATAGGAATTTTATTAATTATCAAGAGTCTGCTATATACCAGATGTTTTATATATTTTATTTCATTTATTCTTTATAGCAGCCTTTTGTGGGAACTGCTATTATATCAATTTCATTAGTGAGGGAATTGAAGCTTAAAGAGGATAAGTAAATTTTATAAGGCTACATAACTCTTGTCAGATATGGAATTTGAACATAGATTTCTCTGACTTCATAGGCTGTCATGATACCCACTGTACATGATGCTACCCACCCAGGACTTCTGATGACAGCAATCCCAGTGATTATAGAGCTATGCTGCCCAGTATGGTAGCCATTGGCCATATGTAGATATTTAAATTCAATTAATTAAAATTAAATTAAAAATTCAGTTCCTTAGTTGCGCTAGTCACATTTTAAGCACTTAGTAACCACGTGTGGCTAGTGAATACACATTGGACAGCATAGAGACAGAACATTTTCACCATCACAGAAAGTTCTGATGTCCTCTGCTATTCTAGAGTTTCAAGTTAACTCCAGATTCAGCTACCTGTATTTACAGTTAAACTTCCTTTTAGGGGTCCATTTATGTTCCTAGAAATTGATGCTCCCTGCATCCCCAGGACTAATGGTAATGTGTAGGGTTGTGTGGCCTTTGCCCAAATTGCTTTCTCTCTTGCTTTTCTTCTGCCTGGGAAAGCTTCAGATATGGTAAGAAGTCCAGGGAGGGGGACGTGTTGGGGAGGGAGAGGAAGAGGACAGTAGTTGTATGAGCTATCTCATTATGCCAACATCCTATTAAATGGATGTTCCTAGATACTTACTGAAAAGATTTCTTACACCTCAATTTCTTTTCTCAAGGTCCTCTTTAAAATTCATTGTCTCCTCGTATTATCTGGCATAGGATCTTTATTTTCCTTTCTATGTAAAGTCCCTCAGTGTGCCTTTTTTAAAAACAGAAAACATTAATTTGGCATCCTGCTTCCCTAGCTGTGGTCTGTGCAGTTCCATCACTTTCTGATTGACGGGCTCTTGTATTTAGTCAGATCTTAGTAACAATGATCTTATTCTGAAGTATGTCTTAACCCAAAGTAAACTGGTTTTAGTTGACTGTTAGCTAAACTTACAAGTATTAAATTTTTTTCGAATGTATTTTTTATTTTATTTAATTCACAATTAATTTATTGGTGATTTTCGAAAGGCAAGAATCTTTAAAATGAAACAAGAAATGTACTTTGCAAATAGTGATCAAATATTTGGCAATGATTTTAAATTTAGAATCCTTGCAGGTCTGTTTTTGCTTAGCACTTTTATTCCTAATTAAGCTATCGCTTTAAATGAAAGGAAGTTGATGTAGGATGTATGCAACTGAACTTCTATTCCACAACTAGATGTCAGTGTTAACATACCTGATTAGATGTCTTGGGCGTGATTTTAATGAGATAATTCACATAATTACTCACCTATATGAGATGAAGATCAGAAAATAAATGATAAGGAAAAGAAGAAAAGAATTAAGGTACTTTCCTTATTTTAGAGTGGGATTTTTAATTCTATATTTATTGGTTTTCCCCCACCTTAATAACTATGCATGAACAATTAAACTTTTTGATTTGTTTGGTTAGGAAAGGCAGGTAGAATGTGAACTTGTATCTTTTCACTATTACCAACCAGAGGTTTCTCCCTACAACTTTTCCAGAAAGAGTGGTCAGAAAAAGGAGCATCATTGATATTCAAATGGGTGTGTGTACATATACATGCGTGTGCACAGTGTGTGGTTCTTGCCTACTTTAATAAACATATTTGAGAGCAGGAATTTTGCATGTATTGTCAGTGACATTTTTAACATCTCACCTAGAATTCTCTCTTGATATAACTAAATCTGTGTTTTTCAGTTCAGTCCTCATATAAATGGGAGCATGATACCCCTTATCCTTTCCTTGCAGATCCTATATGACAACCTTTTAAGTCATTTATATTACATTTGTCTAACTAGAGTCTCATCTTTATACACATGCTTCCTGTTGATAAATATGAAATCTGGAATAACTGAACTATCATAAATAAAATTCAGGTAAAGCAATAGCTCAAAACCCTGAAACCACCCTCCCACCCCCGCCTTCCACCTGATGTGTCTCCTTTCCCCATTTCTCTCTCCCCTTTGCAAATCACTGCTCTGGGTCATTAAGTGATGGAGCTCACTCAGGAAAAATGCTACTGAATTATACTCACTTCGATATTTTCAGTTAAACATTTTCAAAATATGTGTAGCTTAGCAAAGATTTTTGAGGCTAAAGATTTAAATTGTATGGTAGAAAGTATCAAGACAACTTGTCTTTGGAGCTCCATTGAAGATTTTGACAGAATTGACAGCCACGCTTTTTAAAATTGTTGTGAATAAGATTAACATTTTCCTTAGAAACACACCCATTACCCCCAAACAATTCTGTTTTGAAGGCAAGTTAAATTAGTAACAATAACGTCTTAGTATATCCATTTCTGGTCATGGACATAACTCTTCAGGTTATACATAGGTCCTGATGTAGTAACAGTCTGAGATGTGTGCATCAGTCAATGCACACAGTGCACTCGTTTGTTGACTTTAAAAATCCATTGTTTCTTGGGAATTTTCAGTTCATCACTTCTTGGATCACCACATGAAACAATCATTTGGCAATTGCTTTTTGTCAGTTTTTATGTCTTCCAGGCACATAATACAGTAGCATAAGATTAATTATTGATTATAGTACAGATCCAGTATATCACTGGATTTTTGACCAACCTGAAAAATGAGGAGTCATATTAAGCAACTCCAGGTGGTTCCAGTTTGTTGCATACACAGTGGAAATGCAAGCAGGCTACATTGTGCAAATTATAATATATCTTATTTAGCGAAACAATAAAATAGTTCAATGAAGTTTATTCTGAGCTTTTACATTGCTTAGTAGTAGCTTAGTTCTTGACCTGATTTATAACAAATGTGTAATTTTGCAAAGTGATCTTTATATATTAATTTTTTTTTTGTTTAAAAGCCTACTTGATTTATATTTCAAGATCTCTCTGATACCTTTGACAAAGATTCAGTTTATAACTTTATACTAAGATAAGTAACTAGTTATTGAATTTAAACTCAGTTGGAGGCAGTTACCTAAGATATTACTAGCTGGACTAAGAAGTTTCCGGTGTCCTGTAGACAAGGCAGCAGGGTACCTAGGAGATAACTGGTCCTAGCCACGTGTCTTGAATCTAATAGACACTTTGGAGACATTCATGCCTTTATTTTCTCTCTGGCATCATCTCCTCTAGGCTTCAGTGTATGGTTGTCTGATCTGGGTTTTATTTCCAGAGGCCTGTTACATGAGCCCTAGCTCCTTACATCCTTTTTTTTTTCCCCTTCTTTTTTTTTCTGGGGGGCGGCGCTACCTAAGCTTATTATTATCAGCAAATGGTTATTAAAGAAACAGCTTCTTGGAGCTAAGGTGTACTTTTGTAACATTTTCTCTGATATTTTTCCTAAAAAATCTCAAATACTTTTATTTTTAAAACTTCACATTTTCTCCTGTTTTGGGACAGGGTATAGGCATAATGGTTTTATACGTGTTTTGTGCAAGAAATACAAAGAGGGTGGTAATTGCAAAATATAACAACAGCTATGCTTACATAGTTCAAATTCTGACTACTAGTTAAAGACTATGGCAGAATTTTCTGTATCTGAAAGCATTTTGAAAATGCTTTTCTTTAGCCATAAGATAGAAGGGCAGTGAAGGTATGCTGTTGGAATTATTTTCCTTACTCTTCTCACTTTCTCTCACTGTCAAGATTTTTAATTTTTAGTCAGTGAACTTTTTACATTTGGATACCAGTGAATTGTTTATCTCATTTAAAAGCTTGCCTAAACCCTAAATGGCTGAATTTTGTAGTATGTGAATTATATTTCAATAAACCTATTATTGAAAAATAAAACAAATCTACCTAAAACTTACCAAAACTTACCTAAAAGCATTTTCAGAGGTATTGGGAAGCAACTTCATATTAATATTAGAAGGTGAAGAACAAATAATAGTTATTTATATGAAGTTCCAAGTGATACGGCTTTTAAGAATACACTTCTCTTTCCTATTTTTGGTTTGTTTTAACTCAAGAAAACTTTCTATTTAATTCAGAAGTGTATATCTTAATGGAAGGAGGAAAGCAAATATAAGAGATAATGACTAAAGCATTTAAATTTTATTTTTAGCATTGGAATGCTGTTAGAGAGATGAACCAGAAGTACATAAATATTCTACTTCATGCCTGGCTCCTCCTGGCCTGGTGGTCAATTGATAATCTGAGCTCTGAGTAGATAATTGAGGAAGTGAGGAAATGTACTATGAAATGAAATTCATTATTTTTTCTCCTCTCCATAATGAGCAAATTGACATTAAAGACTTTACATTTAAAAATATTCCATTTATCATTACAGAAAGCTGTATACCTGCCCAAGTGGTGGCTGCTGTTGATGTAAATAATATCGCTAATGAAGTATACAATTATAATTTTCCTCACACACAGTTGCTGGCCAAAACGATCGAAGTAAGTAACTATTATTATTGTTTTAATAAATACATAGCAAAAAAAATATGATTGAAAAACACTATAAGATACTGGTTTCTAATGTCTTAATTGAACAAGTTATATGTAAATGAAAAAGTTTAAGGGAAGAGTTAATGTTTTATATTCTATCAGAATATAATGCTATTTTTTGCCTTTTTTTTTTTTAATTTCCAGCTTTAGAGGGAGGAGGAGATCAGTATTTCAGTCTCTGAGAAAGAGGATTGAAATATGAGTATGATTGACTTCTAAATGGTTGATTCAGTAATGATAATAACTGCTTAATTCTTTCTTTTAAAACAATACTCATGTACAATATACATAGCAGGAGTGAAAAGAGACACATTCATTGGCTGTTACTTACTGAGCGCTTACATTAGCAAGCCTGTGACAATTAAAGGTGCCATTTCACCTGTGATGAACTCAGCAGAAGTATTTAACACTGCTGTACGTTATTTAAAAAATAACATGAAATTGTTTTTCTCCTAGTTTCTTGTGAAAATTTTTACACAGCCATTTCTCATGAAGCCATAATTTACATACAATAAACTGCACCCATTTTAAGAGTGCAGTTTGGGCCTCGAACAATATATACAACAGTGTAACCACCACCATCACAATCAGACTTAGAATATCCATCTCCCAGAAATGTTCCTTAATGCCCTGTTTTAGTCAGTTTCTGACCCCAGCCCCTGGCAGCCATGCATCTGCTTTCACTTCACAGATTAAATTTTCAATTTCTAGTATATCATAAATAAAATTATAAGTGTGATTTTTTTTGCGTAGTTTCTTTTATGTAGTGTAATATTTTTGGAACTCACTCATGTTTTGTGTAGATCAATAGTCTGTTCTCTTATATTTGCTGAGTAATATTCTGTACAGTGGAATATTATGTACTGCAATATGTATATCTGTTCACATGATGTGGACATTTAAGTTGCTTCCAGCTTTTGACTCTTACAGAAACATTCCCATAAGCATCCATGTATAAATCTTTATATGGGTCTTATTTTCATTTCCTATGGATAAATACCTAGGAGTAGAATTGCTGGGTTATATGGTAAGGTTCTTAACTTTATGAGAAAATGCTAATTTTTGTTCATAGTGTTTGTATCATGTTACAGTCCTACAATCAGTGTGTAAGTGTTTCAGTTGTTTCACATTTTACCAACACTTACTGTTGTCAGTCTTTTAAATTTTAGCCACTCTATTGAGCATTTAGTAGTATTGTGACTTTTTGTGTGTGTGACATTGTGATTTTCATTTGTATTTTTCTGATGACTAATGATGTTGAGTATGTTTTCATATGCTTATTGGCCATTTCTATGCCTTCTTTTGTGATGAAATTTCTTGCTCAGTTTTTATTATTTGGTATGTTTATATTATTGTCATTTAATTGTAAGAGTTGTTTAAGTTTTCTGGATTCAAATTGTTAGAAATATGCAAAACAAATATTTTCTCCTCTTTTGTAACTTGTCTTTTCATTTCCTTTACTGTGATCATCAAAGTGCAGAAGTTATTTGTATTTTTTCTTTTATAGGACATTTTTTGGGGGTCCTAAGAAATCTTTGTTTACCCATTTTTTTTTTGTTTTCTTCTGAAGTCTACTTTTTCTGATATTAGTATAGCCACTTCTGCTCTCACGAATACTGATTGTGTGTATATATTTTTCCATGCCTTTAGTTTTATCCTCTGTCCTTACATTTAAATTAGATTTATTATAGACAGCATATAATTAGGTCTAAACTTATTACTCATTCAAAGAATCTCAAATTGCAGTGTTTGTACCATTTGCTCTTTGTCTTGTTATTAATATCGTTGGGCTAATTCTACCACCTTGTTATTTGTTTTCTGTTTTTTCAATCTGTTTTTTGATCATTTTATCCTCTTTTCCTGTCTTCCTTTTGATTTTTAAATATTTCATTATTCTCCGCTCTAGGCTTATCAGATATTTTTAAATATTTCATTATTCTCCACTCTAGGCTTAATATATATATCTATATATATATGAGATATATCTATATCTATATCTATATATGATATATCTATATCTATATATATATAGATATGATATATCTATATATATATGATATATCTATATCTATAGATATGATATATCAATATCTATATATATGATATATCTCTTTTATTTTCTTAGTAGCTCTTCTAGGTTTTACAATATGCATCTTTAATTTATGGGAGCCTACCTTGAAATATCATTATAACACTTACTGTATAAATTACAATATACTTTCATTTTACGCTTCTGTCTATTTTGCTATTATTGTCATGCATTTTACTGCTACAGGTGTTCTAAACCCCTAAATATGCTATTATTGTTTTTTTTGGATTAAGTAGTCAAATATTTACTAAAGAGTTTTAAAGGAACAGGAAATATTTTATATTTACCTATGTATCTACTATTTTCTGCACTCTTCATTCTTTTATTTAATCAAAGATATACTTTCTTTTTCCTGAAAATCCTCCTTTAGCATCTCTTATCATGTACTTTTGGCAGGTGACAAATTATCTGAGCTCCTTTTGAGTAAAAAAGTATTTTATTTGTCTCCATTGTAAAATATAATTTTCATTGAATCCTTGGTTATATTCATTTTTGAAATTTTCATAGCATTCTATGAATTAAAATTTTTTTCTTTCAGTATTTTTTATGATCTGGTTTGCTTAATTTCTGACTAGAAGTCTATAATACTTATTTTCATTTTTCCTAATATATTTTTCTGGCTACAATTAAGATTTTGTATATAAGGTTTTCATGAATTTTATTTTGATGTGCTTTCGATGTTTTTCTTTATTCATATTGCTTGGAACTTAATATGTTTTTCTTGTTTATGATTTTTATTGAATTTAGGAAAGTTTGAGCCATTCATTACAGCCCCAAGTGTTTTCTCTGTTCTCTGTCTTCACCTACTTCTGATTTTATTTCAGATATTTTCTTTTTCATTTCTGGAAGTTTCAGTTAATTATTTTTTATGTTTTCAATTTGTCTCTTCATTATGTTTTTTGTTTTCCTTTAGGTCTTTGAACAAATCGATCATATAATGACTGTTTTAAAATCTTTGCTAATTCTATCATCTCTCTCATTTCTGGGTCTGTTTCTGTTGATGAATACAACCTCATGTTTAAAAAAGGATAGAAATTTAATGGAGAACTTAGGAGTAATGAGAGGCTTTAGGGACTTTAAGTTTTATAAAACAGCATATACTGATCATTTGAAAATTTATTTTATGCAAGGCATTGTTGAGCTTTTGGAGGGAAGTCAGTCAGATGTGACTAAGACAGTCTTTGCCTTCAAGCACTTACTATTTAGCACAGAACATGGATTTATAAACCATTTTCTTTGGGACTTCTGATTGAATGTGACATAAAATAGCTATTTCTACTTCAAAACTTTATGCTCATTTTCCTAATAGAAACAAGAAAGGAAAACAAGGGATGGAAAACTATTATTAGTTAAAATAGGATTTAGCCATAAGCCAAAACAAAAACTATGAAGAATAGTATCAAGATGGAACGTGAATGGCAAAATTGCATGCAAACCTCTGGGTATCTTGTATAGTATCAAGAAGGAAAGAAAGGCAAAGGAGAAGACAAAATATACCCAGCAATTGCTTGTTCAAAGCCAGGAGAAGAGACATTTAAAAATTCAAATCACTAGGCTGAAAAGGTCATTATTACCTCTGCAGACTTTCTCACCGCTCTGAATCCGAGAATATGGATTAGGGACAGAGGCACTGCGGGTATTTCCTAGAAACTGTGTGGCCACAAAGTACGTGAATAGAGATGACAGTGCTTCACTTTGTCTTTTAGCAAACTCCTAGATTCAAGTAGCCTCCATTAAAAAATAATAATAATAAATAAAAATAATAATAATTAGAAAGGAACCAGTTAGAGGCTATGCTAAGATAGTATTTTTTAAAGGAGGTAAGAAACATAAAGTAGAATATACACTAGAAATTATATTAAGAAGCAGGAGGAAAATTCAAACAAACACGTCTCTGGGAGCTTGAAGCATTTAAAATAAAACATATCTTCAAAACGAGAACTCAAATATATACAAGAGGTCAAAAAGCAATAATAAGACTATAATAGGACTTGAAAAGTATCAGTAGTCTGGAAAAAGCAAAACCGAGGAGAAAAATGAAACCATTATAGAAAGAAAAGCCATGTCAGAGGAACAAAACGTAAAATGGATAGTGCTGAAAACAGGATCATAAAGGGTGGAGCTTGAGAAAAATAAGCAAAACAAAATGAAAAAGAATACAGAACAAAATGTTGCTGAATAAATGATAACTACTGAAGACAAAGGTGATCCATAATAAACATAGTGACTCTGAAGAAGATGAGAAAACAAAGGAACAAAATAAAAGAAATAGATGAAAAAAACTCCTAAAATAAAACCTACAACAACTCATGAGCTATAGTACCCATGAGCCCTTACTGAAAAATGACTCACTTTAACTAGCAAGAGATGAATCAAAGTAGAGAATTCAGAAATGAATCTGCTTTGTTAGGAAAGAAATTATGGTTAGAAAACAGGGTGAAAATGTTTGCAATGTAGAAATAATAATGTAATTGGAGGAGGAAAGGAAAGTGAGACTCGAAAAATATGTCTATTCTTTGAAAGATAAATGAAGTTACAGATTTTTGACTTTATTTAATGTTACTGTTAGGAGCTGAGCTGGGAAAGACAACTGAGCTGTCAAAGGTTAGAGTAGCTGAGTAAAGCAACAAGGCAAAAATGGAAAAGTAAAGCCTTAATCACTTACTCGGGTGGTAAAAGCAAGTCTCTAAAAAGCAGAGAAAATCCAGATGCCCCGTTTTATTTCCACGTCAGACAGCACACTGGTGGAGAGGTGTGTGGATCAGTACAGACGTGGGAGTCAGCTTCCTGTTGAGGGAGCCCCTAGAGTTAGGGGAAGGCTAGGAGTAAAAAGTACTGGATACTAGTCAGAGTGGGGAGAAGTGTCTACAAGGTTTCCCCCTCCTCCTGTAAGGAGGCCTTGGCAGAAATAGATGGTGCCAAAGAGGACCTCTGCCCAAATGCAAATATGTGAAGAGCACGACTGGCCAGGGATCCGAAGACCTTGACTGCAACTGCCCTCAGAGACTGGGATGCACTGGTCACACACCAAGTCAGGAGCAATGAGGGTAGCTTCCCCAGCGAAGCTTCCACCCTGCCAGGCAAAGCCTTTGTGACTGCCTAGAGTCAGGCCTGAAAAATCACATAGAGGTTTTTAACCAGGAGCAGGACTCAGATATAAAGGTAACTAGTAATAAAACTAAAATTTGTAATTTCTTTAGGTAGAAATGGGAAATTACGAGTCACTGTTATATAAAATTTATGTTAGCAGACACCTTGCCTGGTTTGTTCATTGTTGTATTTCCACACGTAGTACAACGCCTGATATATAGTAGATACTGTGAAATACTGATGGATTAATTTATGAACATTATCTAATGAACAAGATATTGTGCCTAAAAACGGACAAATACAGGCCGATGACAACAGAGGGTAACAGTGGTTTCAGAATTAGTATTAGATAAGATGGACTTCAAGACAAAAAGTATTTAAGAATCATAGGAAGTTACTTTATAATGTTGATTAGTACAGTTCTCAAGATTTAATTGTCATGAGTATCCATGTACAAAATAACATCAGAGTTCAAGTGCAGGAAATGGTAGGAAAGACCCACTTAATAAGTTTTCATTAAACATCTACTAGATGTCACAAAATAGGAAAACCATTGTCTTATGAATTATAAACTCAGTAATTCTGAGTAAAATACGACCAAATAAATCAAAAGCACATTAAAAGAATAATATAGCATAACCAAAATGGATTTTATTTTGGAAATGCAAAAATAGTTTAGTATTTAGGAATTCTATTAATATTATTTAACATGTTAATAATTAGAAAGAGCAGAACTATATGTTAGAAAACATTTGATAAAGTGCAGTATCTTTCTGATTGTTTTTAAACTCAGTAAAATTAAAACATGAATGTAGTATGAGGAACAAACAAAATAAATGAAAATGAGGGACAATTAGTGCATTTTAATAAAGAGACTGATTACAAAAGTATGAGAACCAGTAGCTTATACTACATGCAAACAAAAACATGTTAGAAAATGTAATAGAAGGAAGTTCCTATTTATAGTAGCAACACAAAAGTTATAAACATAGAGAAATAAACAACAAGAAATCTGCATGACGTACATGGGAATAAGAGGTTTGAAAAATGGAAATATATTGGTATTGGATAGGTTGACTAAATATTGTACAAATTTTAATTCTCTTTAGATTAACTACAAATTCACTAAAATTGTCAAAACTTATTTTCTAATCTATGAAGTTCTTCCAAAAGTTTAAATAAAAATTAAGTATAAGAATAGCCAGGAAACTTTCTGAGAAAAGAAGGAATAAAGCATGTAGGGGGAAAATAAAATGGCTCATCAACAATGATAAACACTGTTGCCACACTGAGTGGATCTAATGTTCTATGTAAGCAAAGATGTTTTTATTAACTCATATGGCCACGTTATAGGAAAAGAATAGATTTCCATTAGCTTTTAAATAGATTACAGTTGACTCAGGGACACTGAGTCAATTTCTGTTTACATATATATCTTAAACTATGTAAAAAACCTGTGATTTAAAAATGATAGGTACAGGCAAAATTTTAATACAGTAGAGACAATCGAAGTGTTTTCCTGGTTAATTTAGAGAACTCAGAAAAAAGCTTTTCCTGTTTTATTCATATATTTGAACTTCTTAAAAATGTGTCATATTTAGGAAGGTTGTGATTCTGGGCTTGTCACTTTAAATTTCTAAGAATGCACTGTAAGAGTGCTTCATGAGAACTGGCAAACCCAGGACTTGTGTTTGTCTGTATTTATCTTCTGATAGATAAAACAGGAGGGAGAATAGCACATTTTTCATCTGCTTAGCCCAGTAGGGATAATTTTGATTAAACCGATCTATAATCTTTGAAAATTATTTGATTATACACAACTATAAAACAGCATAATTATTGTGGATATCTGAAAATGGGACCTTTTCCCATTTGGTGATTATTAACAGAGACTGACATGAAAGGGATGGGTGAGTGGTCAGTGCATCACATTTCCTAAATAAAAAAATATTGTTGATAGAGAGGTATTTAAAAATTTCCTAGACCCTAGGCTAAAATCATTACTTATAAAATAAAGTTCTTCATCTTTGACTCCAGAAAACACAGTAACGTTAGACTTGATATATTGTAGAGGCATGAAATGCCGAGGATCTAGGAAACTAGTATTCCAGCTCTGCTTTGGCTGGCTCTGGAAGTTGGAGAAAGTCACTTAATTTTTCATAGCTTCGATTTATTGCTCCACTTTCTTCACAAGATGGCTCTGAAAAGTTAGTTTAACTAAAGTTGATTTGAAAAGTATTGTTATGTAACCTTTTAGGCATGAGTAAATAAAACTATTAAGTGTTATAATTTCTGATCTATTTAGTTATAATTAGTTAGCATTTCTCCTTCTTTCCTATTCTGTGCATATTTTTACGTTCTTTTTTTTCCCCTCCCAAATGTTCATTCCTTAGGGCATTACACTAGAAGAGTTTGAGAGGTTATCTTTTGATATGATTTTAATGAGCCCTCCCTGTCAGCCATTCACAAGGTATGTATAAGTATTTCTCTGCTGAGAAAAAGTGCTTTTGAAGGACTCAATTAATTTAAATCATACCATAGTTTTGAGCGTGGACACTTTGAAGTCCATCCAGCTGCATTTTCATCATTTTGAAATTTTTCATAAATAATTCCTTTTATCTACTGATAATTATTATTCAGCATTAATAATGAAGGAAATAGCAATTACTGCCACATGAACAAAGTAATTTGATCAGTAGTAGATATGCAGAGACTGTGTGGGACCTCTTTTATATCCATCCAAGGGACAAGCATGTGCTGTTTAACGACGGGAAATGTATGGGAAATGTATGGTAGGGGAAATGTATGGCGATTTTGTCATCTTATGAACATTATTGAGCACACTTACACAACCCTAGATGGGCTAGCCTACTTCACACCTAGGCCACAAGCCTGTATAGCATGTTACTGTACTGAATGCTGAAGGTGGTTGCAATACAGTGGTAAGTATTTATGTATCTAAAGGCATATAAAATATGGTATAAAAGATAAAAAATGGTACACCTGTATAGGACACTTACCATGAATGGTGCTTGCAAGACTGGAAGCTGCTGTAGGTGAGTCAGCGAGCGAGCCGTGAGTGATGTGAGGGCCTAGGATGGACTGTCCACTGCCGCAGACTTGATACACACTGTACCCTCAGGCTACACTGAATTTATAAAACGAGAGAGAAATCAACAGAAATGAAGCAATCATTAGATGTGGTAAATAAGAGACATATGAGACTGCTGCCAGTGTACCATTGTGTACTGTTTTACAGCCAAGATTTTTTTTTAAGTAGAAAGAGCACACTCTAAAATAATGATAAAAAGTATAGTGTGGTAAATACATAAACCAGTGTTTAACCAACACAGTCAATTTCTAGAGTTTTCAAGTATTCTGCACTATACATAATTATAAGTGCTGTGCTTTCATACAACTGGCAGTACAGTAGGTTTGTTTATATAGTATCACCACGAACAGGTGAGTAATGCATTGCGCTCCAATGTTATGATGGTTGTGGTGTCACTAAGCAATAGGAATTGTTCAGCTCCATTATAATGTTACGCTGATAGCAGCGGTAAGTGATTCTGTAGTACCATCACCATTTGGAATGCTGAAAGGAAAGGGAGGCCAGAATGAGAAAAAGAAACAAGATTTCTGAGGAGTCTAGTGAAGTCCTCTCTAATCTCCCATCTGAGCCTCAGGTCTACTGATGATTTTGGCCCTGCTGTCAGGTAAGAGGAAACTGACAAATGTTATCAAGCAACTTATTTAAGACTGTGAAGCTAATAAGTAGCAAGGTCCTCTGTTTCTACTTCTCAGACCCAATCCATCTTACCTTCTGCTTGAAAATTGGTTATATTGAATCTTATTTGTTAGATCTAATTGCTAGTCCAAATACTGCCTATTTATAAGACCTGTTTTGACCTAGTCTAACCAAGTTGCAGCTCCTGCTTGTAGAATCAAACTTTCAGTTTAAGTCTCTCTTATTTACATTTGAGAAGATTATCTTGTCTTACTTACTTCAATCCACTTAGATGGTGATTAGTCATTGATACCATCATCTCTGTGTTGCCACCCTACAACAGCCAGCGCATTCATCAGAACTTTTGTTGTCTCCTCTGGGGCAGAGCAAAAGGTGTCATCAGCCAACTCTGTGTGTGTGTGTGTGTGTGCACGCACACACCTTTCCTAATCCAAAGTGTGTGTGTGTGTGTGTGTGCGCGCGCACACACACCTTTCCTAATCCAAGTGATATTAAGAGGGTAATTGATTTTATTTCTTATTGATTTCTTATTCTTCTTTGCCTCATTTATAATTTATTCGGCATATTGTTTTGTAAAAATAAATTTTAAGTGTATTTATTAGGTAGGCAAGACTTTTAAATTAAGCAAATAAATAAATGCATTTTGTTTTCTGTAGCAGCAAAAATGATTGTATTTTTTTTTGTGAGGAGCAACTAATTTTAATTCAGTTTTGATTTTTTAAAAGTGATTTGATAGCTTTATGTAAAATTCCTGACAAATGTATTTGTGGTTTCTCTATTTCTTTAGAATTGGTCTGCAAGGTGATGTGACTGATCCAAGGACGAATAGCTTCATATATATTCTAGATATTCTCCCAAGGTAACACCTTAGATTCCTGTACAAGCTTACCTTAAATTTAAAAGTTTGAATCTGGAAGAATGTGATGTTGGCCATTTTTTTTAGAGATTAGCAGTTTATACATGCTGCCTGCAGATACTGTGTAGTCATTTATCTTCTTCTGCCATGACTAATAGAATAACTGCAAATGTTTGCTGACTACACGCTTGCTACTACAGTGAGTGACAGGAAATTACAGCCTAATAGCTAAATTCTGCTGCCTCACATGAAGCTTATGTTAGTGACTGCTATTGCCCGTGGCATGGGAACCTGTGCTAACCCTGGAAGTCACTGATCTGAATAAATGGCAGCCCTTTGAGTTGTGCAGTTCAGAGAATCTGTGTGAACCCATGTTTTGAGATAAACTTCAATGGAAATTAACATTTCAAATGTTAATTTTATCAGGTGTGACATGTTTATAGGGAAAAATGAATAAAATATGAGTTTTCTCCATCCCTTATAGAGTTCTTTTATAAAAAGAATTCAGAAAATTTCTTACCGCATATTTCCCACAAGTAAGAGTTTTCTTTACTTCTTACTTCTTGGTAATGAGATGTTTCGGATTCCATTTGTTTTTGTTTCTGTTTCTTTTTTAGATTACAAAAATTACCGAAGTTTATTCTTTTAGAAAACGTTAAAGGTTTTGAAATATCTTCAACAAGGTAAAAAGTGTATTTGTCTTGTGTTCATCTTAGACTTAGTGTATTTTATAGTAGGAACAGTTATGAAATAACAATTTTAAAAATGGGCACATCAAAAAATTAAACACATTCTGATGTTTTATATATGTTATCTATTTTATTCATTAGTATTGATTTTAACTAATTAATAATGTAAACTATCACAAAGTTAGGTTCAACTCATTCTCTTCCATTTAGATATGTTTGAATTTTTACCGAATGAGCAACTGCTTTAACGAGAAAGTATTTCTCAATTTTAGCTGCTTATATCGCTGCCAGTTTCTTTAGAAGTTAGAATGTTTTCAGTAAGAATCGATCCTCTGGATCAATTTTCTGTCCTACAGATAGACGGAAGAAGCAAGCCCTGTGTCAAAGCCCTTTCAGATGGTAGCCCAGCTGGAGAGAAAGTGTCCGTCTAAGTTCTTGATTCAGCTGCTGTGTCTCTAACCATGTTCCCCCATCGGATTTGCTAAAGATAGTTCCAGTTTCCATAGCAAATTTATCATCGATAGATTAGTGATTCTGACTCACACCAGTTTGGATAAATTATCTGACAGCTTTATTTATTTATAATAGAAATTATCTCTGTCCTTTTTGGAGGAAAAAAATGTTACTTTCTAATGTAATTTCTCAAGTACTGGGCTTAAAGACCTAGGGTCATTCTCTTTCTAAACAACTTGAATGGAGCTACAGTTTTCACTTAGATGAAGTTTTATGTGTATTTTATATAAGAACACCATTTCCAACTATAGGGTGAAAGCTTTTATTTCTCTTTCATTTTTTTTTTTTCAGAGACCTGTTAATACAAACAATAGAAAGTTGCGGCTTTCAGTACCAAGAATTTCTGTTATCTCCAACCTCTGTAGGTACTACGATGATAAACTCTTACATAAATTTTCCCAAAGGGAATTTGAATCAGTAAGAAGACTGGATCTATTTTGGATAATATTAAAGGTTAATCTTAAAATTAGTTCCGACTTTACTTTCTAAAGACTGTAGTACAGACATATAAATTCATTTATACATATTTTATAAAAAATATGTAGCCCAAGGCTCATAGGGAATGTATTTTTCTTTCCACACAGAAAATATAGGACAGTGTCTTTTGAAAATCTGTGACATTTGGCTTTTCCAAACTAGGTGTGCTATAGTTTAGTAATGCTTCAAAATAATCCAAAATAGAAAACAAAATGAACATATGATAAATTTCTAATTACTTTTTCTGGGACATACCATTAGAATGCAAACATTGCTTTTGTTTCATGTATAAGAAATTGAAGTAATTGGTTTGATAAGATAATGTGGTAGGTCTTTGATATTACAAGTATCACTGTCTTTTTTTTCTTTTGTCTTTGTGTTTGTTAGTCTCTTGTTTTTCATCTATTATTCAGTGCTTTGCCCTGAAATTAAAAAGAAAACCCATTTCAAAAATTAGATGTACAACTGTGGAAGTTAGCAATATGTCTGATGTCTAAGTTTATTTCATATTTATTGCCTTTTAACTTTTAAAATTTAATGAATCCTTTTTTAATAAAATGAGATGATAACCAAGAATAGATATATTTGATTTATTTTATGATTATATTATCAACAATGAGTGTAAAATTATGTAGCTTCTTACTTGGAATGTAACTGACTCATAGACGTATGATTCATCAGATTCAACCTATTCCAAGGTATAAAGCAGCAGTTTCAAAGGTTTAAGAATTTGCTATGAAGTATTCTTCCATAAATCAGTAGCAGCATTTTTTTCTGGCAGAAGCTAAAAGTATACCTGTGTAAGTTTCTTTACTGGGGTTAACAATTGATACTGATCTTTCTTATTTTCTAGTCTAACTAACTGCTCTTGTTTGCTTACATAGCTGGGCATTCCAAATTCAAGGCTACGGTATTTCCTTGTTGCGAAGCTTCAGTCAGAGCCATTACCTTTTCAAGCCCCTGGTCAGGTATTGTTGTTGTTGTTGTTGTTATCACTGTTATTATTACTTACCTATTGTAAGTATATCTCAATCTGCTAATTTATTTGGAGAGCTACTTTGTGGAGGTTTATGTGCATCTTACTGAGCCTACAGTGTAGAATACACCATGCCTTGGGTGTACACCCTAGGCCTTTTCTTCTCAAGATGCCACTTTTATTGCTTTAAACAAAACAAAAACAACAGAAAACAAAAACTTTTCTTTAATTAGAAAAAAATTAAGTTAAAAGTAAAAAATTTGCCATTAGTGTTGTTAGCCTTTTTTTCTCCTTAAATTTACCTTCTGACTGTTGACTATTTTGCATCCATCATTTTCTCCCCAACAGAATCCATTGACTACTTTTAATAAAATTTAATTATACTATCTTAAAAATGGCTTAAGAATATTTTAACACATTGGTTGCATCTTCTGTGAAGTCGATGCTGTTTAACCTTAGTCAATTAGAATACAGTAATGATTAGTATAAACTAGAATAAAACGCTCAGTTGCTACAAATAGGATCTCTATGCAGCTGTTGTACATATTTCTGGAAAAATTGGTCTGAATGACGAGAGTTTCTGTGGTTCAGAGAAGCTCTCCATAACCATCACAGGTAAGAACTCAGTCATGTCCTACTAACAGGGGGTCAGTAGTGTCATTAGAATTCCCTGAAGTACAATTCCAGCACGTCTCCCTTTCCATGCTGGCAATTTCAAAACCAGTGTATAAAGTATATTAGCAAAGATGTCATCTAAAAATTCCTAAAAAAAAATTTTTTTTAACAAGATAGGACTTCATACATGGTTACATGTTTTGCAGGAACAAATTTTTCCTATGGGACTCAAGAATAGAAAGAACCTTTCAGGGTAAAAAGTGCCTTTCTTTAATTACTAGTTTTTCTATAGATCATGGGTATGTTCCAGCTTTTCTTTTTTCAGGAAGGGGTATGGCAAAGTTTGATCCAAAACACATTTTCTATAAATGTTACTGTTGCCTTCTTAACTTGTATTCCAAATACGATGCTTTGCATATACTCAACATACTTCATATTACTTTGTTGGATGTTTTTATTAATAAATACAGAAAGCAGTAACTCCATGAAATAAATCATCTGTAGTCAGATGACACTATACATGGATGATGAATAACTTGTAATAACTCATATGAATATGAGTAAACGACAGTTTTTATCTTTTTAATGACAGTTTTATAAAGGCTAAAGAGATTTTTTTGTATGATGTTGACTGGACATTATTAATTTGTCTTTTATTTTTAAAAACTTTTGATAGTTTGTGTATTTTTACTTAATGCCAGGTACTGATGGAGTTCCCCAAAATTGAATGTGAACATACACAAAAGCGTGCAGTAGATGCAGAAAATACAATTGAAGGAAAGAAAATTGAACCAAATGTTTCCTTTGATAGCAGCAAACAGTGTTCTGGAAAAGAAGCCATTCTTTTTAAGCTTGAAACCGCAGGAGAAATTGAGCGGAAACACCAACAGGACAGTGACCTCTCTGTGCAGATGCTAAAAGATTTTCTTGAGGATGACGCTGACATGAGTCAGTACTTTTTGCCACCAAAGCCACTGCTGCGATATGCCCTCTTGTTAGACATCGTCAAGCCCACTTGCAGAAGATCCATGTGCTTTACAAAAGGGTAGGTTTTAAAGAGACTCTGTTCACAGTCATTAATATCCAAAATAACACAGTTTTTATACCTATTCTTTTAGTTCTTCTCAAAACAAGGAGCATTTTATAAAATGTTTCTGCTAGAATGATTTTTTTTTGCCCTTAATTGTCTGCATTCGTGTTCCAACAGCATGTGCAAGTGATAATTCCTCCTGGCAGAACATTTTGAGCACCACAAAAGTGCTCAAAAAAAGACAATGCCATTTGTTTGATGACCTTCATAGGAGCTTAATTACCCGTGGTCGAAGCATGGTTTCTATAGCTGGTGAATTGCTAACATTTTAGCACTGTTCTTTTTATGGTACATCTGACCTCAAAAATTTATGTCCACTTTCATGATCAATGTATGAGAAATGAATTTTTATTATCGGTATATAAAATTGAAACACCTGGCATACATTAGAGAACAATTAAATTTGATTTGGTTTTTAAAATATATAATACATTCTCATGATTCAAAATGCAAAAGGTACTAAGATTGTAAAACTTCCTCTTCTGTCTCTTCGCCATTCAGTTTCCCTCTCTACATATAACCAGTCATTTCAGTTTCTGTACAATCTCCCAGAGGTATTATGTATGAGGGTGTATTTAAATATATATATATATTTATACCCCTTCCTTTAAATAAGTGGTAACATACTGTGTCCATTATTATGTGCCCTTTTTTAATTACATGATATAAATAGGATATTGTTGCATATGAATACATAAAAAACTCTTCTAGTCTTTTGACATACATAGGTATATCATTATTTCTTTTGCTGGTTACCTTAGGATTATTTCTTGGATGCTAATATATTTTTGATCAATTTTTTTAAAACCTGTAAAGAAGGGGAAAATTAGGCCTTTCTCGCAAATTTTGTGAAAATCCCCGAATCTGCTTTGTTAGTGCCGCTCTCAACCTCACTTGGTAAGTAGTCGCACGATTTGAAACTTCCGGCATTCTCTTACCTACAGGCTAACGGTCTTGCACAAGACACTATGTCTCTGATACATTCATACCAGACTCATTCTGATTTTATCAGACTTTGCCCTTGTACTTCCAGGGGAATGAGTTTGTTGCTTTCTATGACCTTAAAAGTTTTCACTCAGCTGTTTCCAAGTCTAATAGGTTCTTTTTCGGATTCTGATAAAACAAGACATCAATTTTGTACTGAAAAGAAACCTTGAAATTCTTTTGTAATTAAAAAGAGGGTATAAAAGAAGCCATACTGTAATTGTCTATTTTAGTGTAAATAATATAAACATATATATTATGTAAAATATATATGTGAATATATATGTGAATATATATATTCATATATATGAATCTTACACTGATAAAGTGGAATACTAGCTGCATTCCACTTTATCAGTGTAAGATGGTTGAATAAATATATTATATATTAATATTTTATTAAATATATGTTTTCATATATATATATGAAAACAATTTGAAAAAAGTTTTTCTCTGGTGTGACTTTCTCTTATATTTTAAATTGACCTATTAGGAAAAAAATAATGCTTATTTGTTGAATAGCCTCAACAATCTTAGGAGAAGAAATATTACTAATACCTTGCATTTCTGTAGTGTTTTATACTTTTAATGTATACTTTTAATGTTTTTTATACAATGGTTTCATTGTTGTATGAAAAGAGTAGAAACATACTGTGTTACAGTAAGAGGCAGATGCACATTCAGTGGGCCTGTGTTTGTCATGGGTACTGGGGAGCGGGTTTTCGTGTCCATGAGAAGAAATGGTCTGGCATTATAAAAAGAGCAGTAATTTGTTTTCACCTATATAATATTTGGTTTAAAGTGGCAGGGATGCAAATACTGAATAGTACTTGGATATAAAGTTGTAACAAGTGCATACTAACTAGTGATGAACATTTTAAAAAATGACAGTTAATACAAAGAAATTACAATAAAACATAATTTAAAATAGTATTTATACAACTCAAAAACTATGCCAAGTTTAGTGTCTGAGAAGTTTAAATAGAATGATCTTATTACAAATCATATTTATGCGATATTATCTAGAATATTTCAGAAGGATAAATTTTGTAGATTAATTTATTCGGGAAATGTTTAAGATATTTAGTATTAACAAATACATTATATGCTGTATAACATTCCTGTTAATTTTTCAGTTATGGAAGGTACATAGAAGGGACAGGATCTGTGTTACAGACTGCAGAGGATGTGCAGGTACTATGCATGCTTTAGAACTAAATCATTTGAAAATTATTTTAAATAAAATTATGTTTAATATGTAAAATTTGAGAATGTTAAAATAATTTTAGATGTTCTGGAAATGAATAGATATGTTATTTATTCATATTCATGTATATAGTAATTCTTTACTATAGAATATTTTCTTTTTCTTGTTACATATGTGTCCATGTAAAAAGAATGTTCTATGTTTTATTTTCTTTTTATTCTTACCTTTTGTATTTTTTATTCCATAAAGAGTAACTTGACATGCAGTGTAAGATGGTTAATTTCTCTAAAATTACGCACAGATATCTTAATATTGGAGCCTTTCTTTGGAGCACATACTATAAAACCGCCTTTTAGGGAA